GGCTGGGGGAGTGGGGTGGGTTTTAAATGCTTTAAAAGACCCTAAGCATACCTATGGAGGGGGATACACTAGTTTTAATGTAGATTTTAAAGCATTTACACTTGGGGCTAACTTCACGCATCTTATTCTATTTCTATTCAGCATAACAGCGAAATGCTGCTTCACCATGTATGCGTTGAACTCTGCTTTGGGCTCCACTAGTTGACCCCAGTCTGCAGGCCTCACAGATTTTCTCTATTTATATTCAATTAAATTCAATGCAATTGTAAAATCTATGTTACCAATAACATCCAAATTTTTGCATTTGATTTTTTTTTTAATATTGTGAAATTTAGTTTAAACGGGGAAGTCAACCCCCAAATTTTCTTCGCAATATGTCCTATGGGCCTTCGCTAGTCTTAGCACGGAATTTGATTGGAGCAGCAAAATCCACCCGTTTTAGCCACGTCTGTTCGACCTCGCAGTTGCTCAGAGCTATCGATTATGCCCTTCCCCATACTTCACTTCATCTACTTGACCCTCATCACAAAAATATAGAACGGATTTGTTTCTAACTCCGGTGGACAGCGCTGAAGTAAGCAGTGGATGTGACAAACATGATGAGTCAATTTGAGAGTTTTGGCCCCGACTGTATTGCATTGTGACTGTAAACACAAAGGCTGGATTTCTTCCACTCAGTTACAACATATTGGCAAGCCTTACGTTGCGCAAGATTATCCAGCACTTGATGTCACAGGAATGATGCTAAATCTGTCAGCGCTGACTTTAGGTTGACAGCCAAGCGGCTAGTAAATCGGTAAGTGACGGACGCGATTCAACGTCTCCGCCAATCGTGCACTCGCCGGCTTTCCGGCGACTAAAAAAAACAACAACAATGTGCTGCACCCGGCCAGGTCGAGTTATGGAAGCTGCCACGTGGGCATCAATCCTCATCCTGTCAAGTGGTTGCACTCTTCCGTGGCAGTTTGTAAAATATGCAGGCTATTTATCTCCGTGTGTTTGCCTCGTAAATCAATCTGTTCTCCTAACTGTCATGAGAAAAGTCATCATATGAACTCGCTGTGATAAGATGTACCTTCTTGTGGTCTTCTTCTCCATCTCTTTGCGCATCATCGTCATGCAGTCAAAGGTGGGATACGACCAATTATGAACTGCCAGAAGTTCAAACATTTGAAACTTCAGATTCATGGATTCTTGTATCTGCGGTACAGCGTGTTCAGACTTTGCAAGGAAAGCCTTCAAAAAAAACAATCCTTGTTTTGTTCCACGTTGTCACACCCAGGCAAGAACGATTGGACAAACAAACCCACAAATGAGCACCCAAAACAACAACTCAACAAGGCAAAGGCGTCTCCTCGACTGACATCTAATTACGCATGTCGCGACACATTCTTAATTACTGTTATTCACCTATCACGCGAAGGACGCCGGCTCGTTCCAAACCAGGCCGCTTGTTGTCACTGTGTCCGTTTCACTGAGCCTACATCTCCGTTACCGCACTTCTGCGATTGGAATTCAGTTGGCACGAGGTGGCGTCAGCAAATCCCCGAGCAGCACCATGATGCTCATCTGCCCGTCACCAAGGGTTCAGGTTTCAGCTTCTGACCGGGCCATTAACGGAGAAATCAGAAGCTGTTTCTTTAATGGGCTTTATTATCGCAGCAATTACCGTCGACGACGTGTCAGACGACCTCTTCCAGGAACATCAGGAGGGATGTCACTGATGAGAATGTAATATTAGTCACTCGGCCTCTTTTAGCATCGATGGCAGGCCGTTTACCGATCCGCTGGCTTCTTATTTTTAACTGCAATTACATTGTCTCCAACGTTGATCGAGTGCAACCTCTAAACTTGAACACGACACATTCCGAGGCTTTCGTCGACGTCCAAGTTGTTCCCATTGGGTGTAATGTGAAGAGAATTTGTTCCAGCCTGCACAACTGCACAAAGCAAAGTAAAAATGAAAGTTCTTAATTGTTGTGCAATGAAGTTTATCATGATATTTAAAAATAATAATAATAATCAAATGATCCTAAAATTAAAAAAAAAAAATTGAATTAATTAATAACTGTACCGTATTTTCCACACTAAAAGGCGCACAGGATTATGAGGCATACCTTCAATGAATGGCCTATTTTGTCTTTTTTTTCATATATTGGACGCACCGTATTATAAGACGCAATCTACAATGCATCCACTAGATGGAGCTACGCTCAAGGAAATGCAAACAGAACGATCAGATGTCAGTAAAACGTACTGAATAAAGCAGCGACACAGTTCACTTAACCAACAGCAAGTTATACCATTGACTTGTTAATGTTGAACTCACTTGCCGCTGCTCTATTTCCGTGTTCAACCGCGTAACCGATCGCCTTAAGTTTGAGCTCTGCGTTGTCAGCATATCTCTAGCAAGGAGCCATTTTGGGGGTCATCATATTACCGTAATAACCATACACAAGACACATCGGATTTTAAGGCGCGCTGTGAGCTTTTAATAAAATGGAAGGCTTTTAGGTGCGCCTTTTAGTGCAGAAAATTTGGTAATAATAAGCCAACGTGTGCTGAAATGTATTCGGCGATGGGCTGGCGAAACGCCTGTTCGGGGAAACTCCCGAAATTCCCGATGGCCACCATGCAATGGCTATTTGAGCACAAATATTGCATCAACACATGTAGACAGACAATATAATAACACGCACAGGCATAAATGAATCCAAAATGAAGAATGACAGATATTACTGCAGCTGAGTCAATTTTCAATATGAGTAATTAGCGTCGTTCAATGTGGTTTTTGTAAGTAATAATGCTGGAGCGGGGGGGCGGGGGGGAATGATGCTCAGGGCTATGTGTGTTGAGGTTGAAATGATGATGAACAGGATGTCACCATGAACTGAATCGCTGAGTTCATCAAATTGCCTAACTCGCAAGCATCACAAGTGATAGCTGCTGTCTGGAATTGTTCTGACTGACATTTGAAATGACAGAAGTCAGTGAGCTTGAAGAAGATTTCTGGCCCGTGTTGGGACTTGAATTTTCACTCGCACCACCCAATTGGGATTGTTTTCCCCAGACAATCAAACTATTATATCAATATTTATGTGGTTTGGCAAGGCCTTACAGATAGCAAAAGTTCAGCGCTGTTAAGTTTACCACGCACTCGTCTTACATTTCTATTCAGACGGTGGAGTGTGTTGTGCTAACTCACTAAAATGCCGGAGGACACCTTTTTCCCCCCAAACTGGATATGACCTCAAACAAGATTTGTGCAGTCAAAACAGCTTTTCATCACTTTTCGTAGCCCTGCTGGATCCAATTACATAATATCGCACAGGTTGAGCATTTGCAGTCCGCTCTTCCAATTTAATGTCTTGTAAAATAATACCCGCTATAAAAGACGAGACTCCAGGTAAATACAAATAAAAGCCGTTGCTACTAAACACTGACCAATTAAATCCAACTGTATCAAAAACTGATTTATCGACACAATGCTAACTTTTGATAGATACTATTATGATGCTGTTTTGGTTAGCGACAGACTGCAAATGGCCCCAGTAGTTAACTCTTTACATTACAGTGACTTTTTTCACCATCTAGTCCATGTTTTAGTGCACAGGTCTCAAACTCAAGGCCCGGGGGCCAGATGTGGCCCTCCACATCATTTTAAGTGGCCTGCAAAAGCAAATCAAAGAGGACACCTTCCATGATACTTGCTAAAATGTGTGCCTAAAACGTCAAATTTTCAGATGTAATAAATCAGTGACATATTGTCAGCATTTTCTTATCACCGGTACCAAACCCCTCATTACAGTTACTTAAACAATCGTTGAATAAAACGTTATTCTTGACTTCTTCATGTAGTTTCAGTCATTACGGCCCTCCACGGTATATATATAATGTGGCCCACGACAAAAATGAGTGTGATACCCCTGTTTTAGTGGTTTAAAATGATAATAAGTCTACTTTTTAGAATGATGATAAACATTTTGCCAACATACGCCTATGTCATTCTGGTCTATGCTCTATTGCATTAAAATCAACTTATACATTATTATATACATGATACATTACACATTACATTTGTTCCGAAAAAAATATAAATGCAAGACTCGTGCTAATGTAAGTTAAATGCCCTGTAGACCTGATTAAAGAACAAAGCCAGCTCAAGTACGGCCCGCAGGCCATTTGGCCACACCTCCTTTAATCTGATCTCCTGGGCTGCAGCGAGTTCATCAGTTCGCAACAGTGGGAGACAGCAGTCCGTGTTTAAAAAGCAGGTGTCGGCCTGTCATTACATTAGTCTGCTGTCTGTCTGAACCGCCGGGCAGCTGCCAGACAATATCGGCCTTTTTTTTTTTTTTTTTTTTTTTTTTTGGAGCACTATTATACATGAATAACAAATTGTCTGCTCCCCCGTCTTATTAGTCGGCTGGGTCAGAAGGTGTGCCTGACCGCACGTCATGAAGTACGGCGAGACCAAACTTGGTGTGCAGCACTATTTCTTTGACTTCACCAGATGTATGTTTTTTAGTGTGTGTGTCTGCCAGGGAGTGTGTCACTGCAGAACAATAGAAGCACTATAAAAACAGCTTACACACGCTGCATGTGTCATTTCAGCCGCCTGTCTGCTATATGTCTAAACATGACTGGACAATTTATTGGGTACGCCTAAGCATTCTAATGAGATGTAATTCAAATAACACTGCCTTTACAAAATTGGTAATGCCCTTTTTTTGATTGCTTCTGTTCGAGTGGTATTTGTTTCACGATACATTTATTCTGCTGGAAGTTTGCAGTGGTGTCTGCTTTATAGTTTGGAATATTTTGCGAGTACGGCCATGTGACAAATAAAATGACCAAAATAATTGAAACAAAGCATTTTTCCGGACCAGACTGCAATCCATGCATGGAAATATATATAGATATTTAGTTTTTTACATTTTTAGTGATATTTTTTATTAAATACCCATAAATCCAACCTATTTAACCTGAGAAAATGATTAAGAGTACATCTCAAGACTTTTTCTTTCACCTTTGTTAATTTTTCATGTTTTTAAATCCTTTTCATGACATGAATTTTAATGATAAAACAGTATATTTTTTTTCATTTTATTCACAGCAAAACATTGTGCTCCTTCATTGATTATTCAAGGAAATCACACAGTCATGCTACCTCAGACCAAGGTCTCAATGACAATATTTTTTTCCCCCAAACGTCATACATATAAATTGTGGGTGGGTTGCATGCTTTGGACCTTTTTCTTTTAGTAGTTCATCTGATTTTTTTTTTTTTTTTTTTTTTTTTTTTTTTGGAGGAGGCGGGAGGGGTGGGCTCGGGGGTTGGATCAGTGGCTGCTGTGGGCCCCTTATGTCCCGCAGGCCCTAAAAGCCCATCCCTGCTTTTACCTGTATCAACTCTTTGATTGTTCTGTATACTAAAAGCAAAAGAAGACTGTTTGTACATGTTTTCACATTCCAGTTCCAACAGCGAGATATACATCACATCACGAGTCACTCTGCCTCATCTTATCTTCGTAAAGGCAGATTATTATTTTTTTTTTGGAGACAGAAAGAGCAGGGACGGAAAAGGAAAGATAGGAGGTGACACAAAGGGTCAGGAAGGCAAATCAACCTGACCTGGAAGTTTTGCTAGAACCACTCTAACAGGAATTTGAGTGCAAACCATTTTTGCAATGTGTTTTTCTTTTTTAAATACAGAAAATAGCACTCCACAATCGTCCACATTACAAAAACATACAGTAATAACATAAATAAGAATGTAACGATGAAACAGGTGATTGAACGGGTGATAAATTTATTGCAGCTCCTTCTGTTGTGCATGGCTTGGCGACCAGGGGCAACATAATACGAGGAATATAGCTAATAAGAGTATGGTCACTTAGACACAAACAAAGTATTTGACTCAGCAGACTTTTTTTCAGAGGATAAAGAATATATGCCTGTGATTATTATTATTATTATTATTATTATTATTATTATTATTATATTGTCTGTCTGCATGTGTTGCTGCACTGTTTGTGTTCAAATATCCATTGTTTAATTAAAGGGGACGTCAAGTCAAAGATTTTCCTAACAATATGTTCGATGCACCCCCACTAGTCTAAACACGGCTTTGATGTTTCCCATGAATGTGTTGGCATTCAGCATGCGGACTCAAAATAGATAAATAGATCTATTATACATCCATTTTTAACAAGCTCAAATGTAACTCCAGTTTTTTTTTCCCTCTTCTCTCACTTAGATGAATTCAACCCTTCTGTTCCCAAGCTGGAGAAGAGCGTGAGCGGTAGCAGCCCGTCCCGGGACCGCCTTCTGCTCACCGTCACCACGCTGCTGCTGGCCGTGCTCTTCGTCTCCTAGCAACGGCCATCGCTTCAGCATCACCATGCCCACGAGCCTTCGGAGGGTGGACGGTCCAGCGGTGGGCGGGACAGTGAAGATGCAGTCTGTGTATGTGTGTCGTTTGTGTGTGTGAGTGCGTGTGTATGTGTGTCTGTCCAAATGTGTGTGTGTGTGTGTGTGTGTGTGTGTGTGTGTGTGTGTGTGTGTGTGTGTGTGTGTGTGTGTGTGTGGGTGGGTGGTTGTTAGTTCATGCACGCCACACAAAGCATTTATAAAAGTGGCAACATCAGACTGAAATTATTAAATAATTATAAAAAGGCAACAAAAAAAAAATCACACAAATCCACCCACTCATACGATCGGCTGGTTCACTTCCTGTTGGTGCATTGCCATAGTTTCACGCAACGGGGCAACTGAACTGAATCGAATGGATTTTTCCTGGGATACAATGGGAACAGTGTGGAGAGTTAAGGGACATTTTTTTTTCTTCCCAAGCAGAAGATGCTTCATGAACATATCCTGGGACTGTTTTTATTTTTCGTCATCTCTACAAGCAGTCAAGCAGTGCGAGGGGAACATTCGTAAAAAGCATTTAAAGGTCCGAGGTTAAAGCACACGTGCGCACAGTCGCGGCAGAGCATCCCCGCATTTGAGCACTCAGCAATACCGAGGAGGGATGAAGGAGTGCGTTGGCGTCGCTGTGCTCGACCACAATCTGTCTTGCGTGTATGCGCGGGTGTGTAAGCAAATGTTAACATCCCACCAAATACATTCACACACTTAACACTTCATTCAAATGATTGAAAAAACAAAACAAAACAAAACAAACTTCAACATGAAAGTGGGGAGGTTGTGTCTAGCCAAAAGTCAACCACTACTACTACTATAGCGGGCCGCCGACCAAGGAGAGCGTTGCCATGGCAACTAGCACCTTATTTCACCATGGTTACCACTCCCCTGCCAGACAACCATTCTGAACTCTATTTGGGACACCCTGACGAACTCTTTTGCTCTCCCCTTCACAAACCAGAGGCATGTGAGGCGTTCAGGTGTGCGTGTAAATGTCAAGACCGGACCGCGAATGAACATTTAAATGTTTTGAAATGTAATGAAAGTGTTTGAGTTTTTTTTTCTACAAACTTGAAACTCAGTGTCCTTCAGTGTAGCTTTGGTTTGATTTTTTTTTTTTTTAATTAGGGTTTCTGTGACATGTCTTTGTTAATAGTGATGAGATACGATGGAGCCATATGTCAACTTGGGCTGCATGCAGACTGGTGATCGAACCTTGAGATTGTTTGTGTTTTGCAGAAATTTCATTTCGATCCGATTGTTCGATTTAAAATGAAGCTTGAAGCATCTTCTCACATGTTGCTGCATGTGGTAATATAGTGGAACCTCTGAAGTTGAACGCAGTGTATCTGTTACCGTTTTGTTTGCCGTCAGAAGCAACCAGAAGAAATCATAGAAAACGAATTTAAGAATGTTGACACTATCTGAATGTAGTCATCATTTTCATGGAACTAAGGAAACATCGCTGAAGGGTTCAAACTGTCCTTGAATTTGCCACAAGTACTTCAGAGGTATCGCTGTATTCTCTCTGACAGTTTTATTGAAACACGACATGATTGAAGGCTTTTTTTATGAATATGATCGCATTGTCGTCTGCTTTTCAGAAAATGTGGCCTTTGCAATCACATTTGGATGATACTACACACACACACACACACACACAGACACACACATTGGTATTTATATAGCGCATTCACGACAGCTGCAGCTGGAACAAATCGCTTGACAGAACCTTTAACAAAAGAATAATACAACAGAACACATAATATCAACTATGGAAAAAGTGATGATATTTCAACCTATCAGGAGCGATATTTGGTATATCATAATTGTAGCAATATACAAACCAGTACAAAACACGCACATATTTGTACACAACTTTTTTTATTTTAATTCTCAAGAGCGACTGTGTTGTTCTGACCATATTAAAATACAACCTATAGGGAGTCTGTAGTCTCACAGCACCATTGCAGTGTGCGATCCAGCCCAAGTGTATATATGGCTATGAGTGTGTGTGGGGGGGGGGGGGGGGGGGGGGGGGGGGTGTCAATCCTTCTTGCACTTAAGAATTAGGACACAAAAGAACGTACGTGTGCGTGCGAGCGTGTGAAAGTTTACGTGACGTCATCTGGCGGCGCAACAGAAGCATTTATTAGAGTTGGAAACAACAGTTACAATCATGTTTACCTTTCGACTGGAATGACTTTAAATGTAAACTGAACAAGCAAACAAACAAAGCATAACAACAGAGGTTCTAACCACGAGCGTGACAACAAAATAATACAAATCCTACTTTTAACAAGATGCGCTTCCGCCTCTTTTATTTGTCTCCACAAACACATCAACACAATTTGGTTTTGGCTTTGAGGATGTGACAAAATGGGCTGGTAATCCAATCCAGGGAGGAGGACAGCTGGAGATGTTGCAGCAGAACGTGTGCGTGCTGTGTCGATAATGTTGTCAGATTGGATTTTTGTTCCATATCAAAATTGACGCTCTCCCATGCCAGTAATGACTTTACGCGCTCCGATTACACCACGGATAAGAGCTTCTGTCACCTGCTCGCCACGTGAATGATTGCAGGTGGAGGAGTCGCTTGTGGGAGTGTTGCCATGTTTGTGCAGCAAGTTGAATGTAAGTACTGTACAGTAAAGTGGGTTTTACTTAAACACTGGTAGCTTATTTTACTGTTAATGGGGATGGCATCCGCTTGAACAAATAAACATCTCCTTTAAAAAACAAACGACAACAAAAACAAACCACTCGGGGTTGTCTGCTTTGCTCCAGGTTTGCAAGTGTAAAACGGGTGCAAAGTTGATGCTCTGCTAGCTGAGATTGAATCTGCCAAACGTGCTTTGGCAGAAAAGGTAAGCAATGCAAAAGCAATCTGTCATGGAGTATTTCTGTTCGTTTGTCAACCATGTTGTGTGCTATGCATGTGAAGCCTGGTTCCTACTCCTGGCACGAGCCAGCTAAGCTAACGAAGCTAGCTATGGATACGTTTGGTTGCACTTGCAAAAGTGACATGCGCTTTGTGGCATGAAGAATTTTTTTATTCCGTTTCTAAAAGTAAAAAAAAACTGTTGAATCCATGTTCTAGATAAAGCTTTGCGGTCATCCACAGAGTTGTTTCAATCCCCTTTTGTCTGCTCCTAGGTAAACAATGTAGGCCTTGTTGTCGGCTAGGTATGTTAATAGACAGAATCGGGTTAATTTGTTTTAACGAGAACCGTAATTGGTTCGTATCAGCAGTACATTTTTCAGCCTCATTCGATGTAATTAGGTGAGGGTTTCAAATTTGGAGAATTTATAGAGAAACATAAGATGCGGTGGTAAAGACAGACGCGATGTCTATATTTTAGCCGTAGCTCGTAGCATGGTAGGAAATATTACCGGTAAATGGTGAAATGAGACTTTGTCTCTCCCACCTGTATTCTTGCACCAAACGCCACACAGTAATTCACACTTTTTTGATGTTGGCCGTAAAAATTCTCTTCTCAAGCACCGGAGCAAAACAAAGCGTTAATTTCATACATGGAAGCCGCAGCCACATTCAGAAGTGTTTGTCTTTAAAAAGTATTTATCGCTTTTTAGATCGCTTTTCTGGAACAATGTTGCTTTTCAATAGTGCTGTCCTCAACCAGCCACGATTGTGTCAATTTGATGTAGTGGATGTGAACGTTGAGTTCTGCTTCAATCTACACTGCATTATTGATTGGAAGCAAGGAAGAAAAAAACGACAGACGAATACTGCTGATGTTATGTAGTTAGTTGTAACGATTTTCTGTCAACCGTAGAACAGACTAGCTCAAATTTTACACAAGTAGTTTGTACAAATGAAGTCCTCCTCTTTTAGAGTAGCCGTACTCTCTTCAGCCCGCAGCTCCGTGGTCATAATTGAATAGAATTTTGTCCAGGTTATATAACATTTTGGGTGACCATCAGTGATTGTTCCATTAGAATGACTGATGATAAATGGTCCAAACATGATATAGTTCTCAACATTTTGGATGATGACTAAATTTTCATCAGAGCACCCATATGCAAGCGAAGTAGCGGGACAGATGATAAACAGGATGACTCAGGCACCTTCTCGGGCTCTTTGAGTAATGAACCTTGAGAGAAAATCGCAGTGTCAGACATGATGTGAGTCATATCATGTAGACCCATTGCCTTTATTTCAGGTAAGGTTTTACAGAAAAAAAAAATCAGTAAAGCGCCTCAAGGAGAGACGGTGTAGTAGATGACTAATGGCTAATAAGTGTTTTTTTAAGAGGGCGGAAAAAAAGGCATTGAGGCGTTTGATTTAATCTAACGTGATAATGTTCAGGCTTTGCAATGCTTTTGCCTTTTAGTTTCACTTTTATATTCCTTTATGTTCATTTACAGCGTTCATCATTTCCTCTTTGGCCTCATGTGTGTCAAGAGTCAAGTCAGAACCTTTTCATTGAGAAACATAATGAGCTGATCACTTTCAAATAAGCTTTGTGATGTTTATTTCACTATCGAGGTGGGCAACCGACAACCCACCCGGGCATTTGATCCTGCAGTAAAACCCAGGCCCAAATATGTTTCACCCAGAAATGCCCATATTATGTCATGTTTAGATCTGGGATGATTTAATTTGAATTAATTAATTTCAATGTGAAACTATCACAGACACCAGAAGAAGAAAAAATAATTGGAGGGGGGAGTCATTAACTCAACATTTCCTGGCAACAAACTTTATTACAACTGCAGCGGTTGTGGAAGCACTATATCAATAAAGCTGTATTGTATTGTAGTCCCTTTAGCGTAGCGCCATCCAGTGGATGCATAACGCAACCTCAGCCACTATTGTAGCTTCTATTCTACGCGTCTTATAATGAGACCCTATATATGAAAACCATTTTACAATCGGCTATTCATTGAAGGTGCGCCTTATACTCCAAAGCGTCTTATACTGCATAAAATACGGCATTGAAAACGGCTTGCTGTCTTTGACAATGCGATGTTAAAGATTGCACAAACATGCCGTTTTACGGGTTGACTGAAAAGTGATTTTGATGGTACGTGCATTGCCGGCAGACAAAAACAAAAAACATCCTGCTCGTGTTTTGCTCAAGCCTTCACCCAGCACCTTCCCCTTTCTCCTTCCAGTCACCCCATGACTCTCTTATCCAGTCACAAATCACACTCAAGATACCTTCACTGCCTCACCGTCTGAGTTGATAGCAAGAATCCCGTGAAATGATTTTTGCCTCTTTCAGGCTGGTTTGCACTTTTTTTTCAGCATACGTCTGTGTGTCTCATCCGCTGTCTGAATGAAGAATCGTCTGCGAGGCTATTGTTCATAAAGTGTTGGAGGGCCGCTCGGAATATTCGTGTGACGGCATGTTTGAAAGGAATTAAAGTGTTTTAATGGCCTCTGGGCGAAGGGCAGAGTAGGCCTAATCCCTGGACTGGTCACCAGCTAATTACTGGGCACAGAGAAACAACCGTTCACACGATGGACAATTTACTTTTCATTGATCCTAAACCTGCATCTTAATGTTTCTAAAACTAACTATAATGTTAATTACATTAATTTTGTCTTGTGTATACATACGCATACAAGTAGCAAATGTTCGTGTTTGGTCGATATGGTATTCCCAACAAGCAGTCTCACCTTTAAATTTTTTTATTGATTGACATTTTTGCACCATAAAATCTATTAAAAAAAACTACTAGCAATACAAAGACTAATAAAATATAAACTAATATGAAGCGTTAAAAACTAGTTGAAACTATTTCAATTTAAAAAACAAAAGTCAAATCAAAATGAAAAACTAACTATAATGCAAAAATCCGAAGCGATTATAACCCCGAACCTTTGAAATATGGGAGGAAGCTGGAGTACTTGGAGAAAATATAATATAAATAAATATAAAAATAATAATAATTAAAAAAAAAAAAAAAGAAAAACCCAGGCAAGCCTGGATTATGCTACAAGGCTAACGATTTTTCGCCGGACAAAAAGCCTTAAATTGAGATTTTTGAAGAAAAACGTCATCATAGTAAAATAAGGTTGTATTTTGGACCAGAAAAACTATTTTAGAAGAATGAAGTTTCACTTTTTGTGACAAGTGTTAGTACTTTGTTTTTGTTTTTTCGAAAAAGTCCAAATTTTATGAGACTACAGACATTTATTTTTCGAGTAAAAATGTTTTTTGTGTAACTTTGACATACACACACACGCACACAAACCGATTAAAGTCTTATTGCAGACAATAAGAAGTCAAAGGTTTTTGATTTATGAGCTTTCAGTGGCGCAAGAAAAGATGCTGATTTTATTCACGCGCGCACACACACACACACACACACACAC